GTGAGACCCTGTCTCTAAATAAAATACAAAAAGGGCTGGGGATGGTGCTTAGTGGTTGAGTGCCCCTGAATTCAATCCCTGGTACCCCCCCCCAAAAAAAAAAAAAAAGATAAATAAAATGTACAGTTTTTAAGGGTTCAGTTCAGCGAATTTTTAACAGTAATATAAACCCATGTAACTACAAGCTTTAAAATATTTTCATCCCTTTCCCCCACCCCAGAAAGTTCTGTAGTTTAGTTTTGCTTGTTTTAGAACTTCATATAATAGAATGATACGGTACAGATAGATTTTTTTTTTTTTTTTTCTTATTGGAGACAGGGTTACTATATTCCCTAGGCCAGGCTGAAACTCTCAATCCTGCCAACCTCCCACATAGCTGGGATTACAGGCATATGTCACCATGCCTGGCCAATATATAATTGTTGTGTCTAGATTCTTTCAGCATTATATCTATTGTAATGTGTATCTACAGTTTGTTCCTTTTTAATACTGAATAGTATTCCATTAGATAATTATATCATAGTTGTTTATCCATTCTTCTGTTGATAGGCATTTGGGTTGTTTCCAGTTTCTGGCTATTATGAATAAGACTTCTGTAAACATTGTTATACAAGTCTTTTTGTGGATAAATGTTTTCATTTCCTTTGGATAAATACCTAGGAATAGAATTACTTGGCCATGTGGTAGGTATATATAACTTTGAAAAGAAACTGCCAAACAGTTCTCCAAAGGGTTGCACTGTTTTGCCTTCCCACCTGCAATATCTGAACATTTCATTTTCTCTGAACCCTTGCCAATTTCTACTGATCTTATTTCTTAGCTATTCTTGTGGGCATGTTACCTCATTCAGGTTACATTGATCGTTAATTTTCACTCACCATAGCATTTTGTCATAGTCTCTTGTATTTGGACAGTAATATTCAATATGGCACTTCTTTGTGTGCTGGTTTGTTCTTTTTTGTGTCTTAATTGTTTCTTGGCTGTAAAATATTCACTTTAAGAAGCCTGGATCACAGCTGGGTGTAGTGCTGCATGCCTAGAATCCCAGTGACTTGGGAGTTTGAATTAAGAGGATTGCCAGTTTGAGGCCAGCCTCAGCATCTTACTGAGGCCCTAAACAACTTGGCAAGATCATGTCTCAAATAAAACATTAAAAGGTCTGGTGATGTGGCTCAGTGGGAGAGTGCCTCTGGCTTCAATACCTGTTACCCAAAAATAAATAAATAACTAAATAAAAGGGGCTGGGGATATAGCTTGGTGGTAGAGTGTCCCTGGGTTCTCCCCACCCCCCTGTACCCCACCCCCACAATATTAACTAGTTATTTATGTGATAAAGGAATATAATTTTATAAAAAATTTAAACAAAGATAAAGGGAGAGTTACCCTTGATAAAGCCTTCTCTCAAACCACCGCCCTTTTTAAAAAATAATCACAATTAAGAGGGGTGTGTATATTTCTAATTTTTTTTGTGCATATACATGTGTCTGCATAAAGAAAATGTTATGTAATTATACATTCTTTAAAGAAATTATACATCATTTATGGGGTTGGGGTTGTGGCTCAGCAGTATAGTGCTCACCTAGCATGAATTAGGCACTGAGTTCAATCCTTAGCACCACATAAAAATAAAAGGTATATGTCCCCCTAAAACTAAAAAATAAATTTAAAAAAATCTTTAATAAAATAGAATTATACATCATTTGTATCTTTCCTTATTATATAATGTATAATTGTATAGCTGTACCATTGTTTAATTTTTTGGTGTTTTTTATTAGTGCAAATCATTTATACATAATAGTGGGGTTTATTTTGACACATTGATAATTGCATATAACATGATTTGCTCCATTTCAATCCCCTGTACTTTTCCTTTCTCTGACAGTTTTCTTATAACAGGTTTTACTAGGCTGTTTCTAGTGATATGCTTTCACAAATGTCACTGCAATAAACCTTACATGTGCCTCTGGATACATGCCCAAATTTTTCCTCCAAGTTGGTAACCTAGAAATGTAATTAATTGAAGAGTCTTTACATAGCCAGATTGATGACACATACATAGATATGATTCTTGCAACTCGGGAGGCTGAGTAAGGAGGGTCAGGTTTGAGACCAGCCTCKGCAACTTATCCAGACCCTGTCTCAAAATAAAGATAAAAAGGCTGGGGATGTAACTTAGTGGTAATGCACCCTTGGATTCAATCCCCARCATCAAAAAATTAAATTTAATTTTAAAATTAAAAAGGGTAGGAGATGTGACTCAGTGGTAGTTGCCTCCTGGTTTAAATTTCTAGTACCACACACATACCAAAAGAGAGAAAGAGAAATAAAAGACTTTCTGGTATCCTAGAGAAGTCTTTGAATTATCTGAAAGGTGATTTCTAGTGTTGATATTTATTCTGGAGCAGTCTTTCTGACTTGAAGGAATACTTAGAATACCTCTCATTCTTGTATCATCCAATAAAAAACAAAACAATATTCTTACTGATTTGGATTGTGGAGGGGACAGAGGGAGATGGCTTGTGGAAACAGGAGGATCTAATGGTTCACAGAATCTTGCCCTACCAAAGTCATCCACAGCCTAAAACTGTTTTTTTTTTTTTTGTTTTTGTTTTTTTTTTAAAGAGAGAGAGAGCAGGAGAGAGAGAGAGAGAGAGAGAGAGAATTTTTTTTTAATATTTATTTTTTAGTTCTCGGCGGACACAACATCTTTGTTGGTATGTGGTGCTGAGGATCGAACCCGGGCCGCCCGCATGCGAGGCAAGCGCGCTACCGCTGAGCCACATCCCCAGCTCCTAAAACTGTTTGATAATACAGTTATGATCAAAGCCTTCTGATTCTCCAAAGCAACCTTGCTGAGAATGTCCATCTCTTAGAAGTCAACAGAGAATAGGACAGTCTGTTTTACCTAGAAGATAAATTATATTTTGGATTATAGGACTTATAATAACATTTGCCTTTCAGACGCTGACTGGAAAGGAAATTGAGATTGATATTGAACCCACAGACAAGGTGATGTATGCCCAACACCCTTCTCCTTGCCTGTGTCTTTATTTGAGTGTGCTTATGAACTTAGTCCATTTGCTGTCATGCTATCTGTATAGTTCTTGTTCTTCCCATTTCCATGGTTCTTTCCTCAAGCAGCCTCTGACTACTTGCTCTCTAAAGGTGGAGCGAATCAAGGAGCGTGTTGAAGAGAAAGAGGGAATTCCCCCACAACAGCAGCGGCTCATCTATAGTGGCAAACAGATGTGAGTTTGGAGGGAGAGTTAGGGTAAAGTGATGTTATGTGAAAAGGAAGTGGGGACAAGTGCTTGAGATGGGTCAGGCCTGCCTCTTTCTTGCTCTCTCTCTCTTTTCTCTCTCTCTCTCTCTCTCTCTCTCTCTCTTTTTTTTTTTTTTTTTGGTAGTTGTAGATGGATATGGTACCTTTAACCTTTATTTTATTTTATTTTTTTTATCTTTATGTGGTGCTGAGGATCAAACCCAGGCCTCACACATGCTAGGCAAGCACTCTACCACTGAACTACAATCCCAGCCCTTCTTTTTTTTTATTATTTTTTTGGTGCCTTGAACCCTTTGGCAGTTTGATAAAGCTTATAGAGTACTTCTCAGGACAGAGAAATTTTTTTAGTATAGAATAAAATATGTGGAATTAGAAACTAATTATATTGAACTACAGTTAAAATATGTGGAATTAGAAACTAATTATATTGAACTACAGTTATCAAATTATGAAAACAAATGTGGTATAATAACGTGCTTCTTTAGTAATAAATAAGATCTAGTAGTGGGTCTAATAATTGCTGTAATTTTGAAATATTTTCAAGATACCTGCAAACATTGTAATATGATATGGACATATCTAATTTCTATCGTTAACAAGTTACTTACATTGCCAATGCTACTATGAGTTTTTATACTTTTTTTTCCTATTTTCAAAATTAAAAGAAATAGTTAGAGGTTAGTAAAAATAAAGGTTGAATTTTTTCTCATCCAAGTTCACAGACTTCCCAGAGAGAACCATGAAACCCAGATTAAGAAACCTTGTTCTAGCTGGGCATACTGGCTCAGCCTGTAATACTAACAACTCAGGAGGCTGAGGCAGGAGGATCGTAAATTTGAGACCAGCATCAGCAATTTAATGAGACCCTAAGATCTTGTCTTAAAAAGACTGAGGATGTAGCTCATTGCCCCTGGGTTCAATCCCCAGTATCAATAAACAAACAAATTTTTTGGGCTTTGGATATAGAGGAGTAACTTAGCAGCTTAAGGATATAACACTAGTTTATCATGCTTGAAGCCTTGGGTTTGATCCCCAGCATGACCCCCCCCSAAAAAAAAAGAGAGAGAGAACACCTATTCCAGATGGTATTTCTAATGCTTCTTTTGCCCCTCTGTAGGAATGATGAGAAGACAGCAGCTGATTACAAGATTCTAGGTGGTTCAGTTCTCCACCTGGTGTTGGCTCTGAGAGGAGGAGATAGTCTCAGGCAGTGACGGACCTTCCTTCCAGTTCACCTCCTTATGCTGTTGCTCATAATGAGGCATCATATATCCTGTCACTCTCTGGGACACCAGAGTCACTCCCCCCTCCCCTGGATGCCCAGTCTTGTGTGTGGTGGGAGAATATGAGGACCCCAGGATGCAATGTTCCTGACCCAAAGGGCCCCTGCTGGCTGTTGGGTTTTAATTTGCAGTCCTGTGTGCTTCCCTCTCTTATGGCTGTGTCCTTAGTTGTCAATAAAATTTCCTGGCCTCCTGTAATCTTTTTCTGTTGCACAAATGTGACTGAAATAAAAACAGACCCAATGATAACCATTTACACTAGGTTTAAGGAGCAGTACCATGAAGAGCTGGTGCCCTTAGAGGGTTTATCACACTCTAGGAAAGCCCACTCAGGTGTATGCTGGTGAGGCTGGTTCATGAGAGCCACTTCTTGCCACCTATTTCCAACTCCATGTAAGTGACTTTGTGTTGGTGGAAATTCGCCCTGATAGGAATAATTATAGAAACTGGCATGTTAGTTCCTTTCCACAACCTGGTTGTTGCACATCTGTTAACATACTACTGAAGTGAATGGTAGAAGCCAGGAGAAAAGGTTTTCTCACACTGTGGCTTTGACTCTACATTTGTACCTGGTTGAAGAAAGCCTGAAGGGCTTTACAGACCTTACATTCTTTTTATTTATGTTTTAGATGAGCTTCTAAAAGTGAGCCTCTTGCTTCAGCCACCTGAATAGCTAGAACTCGGTGCACCACTGTACGTGGCTACCGACGCTACACCCTTCTCCTTGCCTGTGTCTTTGAGTGTGCTTATGAACTTAGTCCGATATCTGTATAGTTATTGTTCTTCCCATTTCCATGGTTCTATCCTCAAACAGCCTCTGACTGCTTGCTCTCTAAAGGTGGAGCGAATCAAGGAGCTCTGTGACAGCCAAAGACTCTTGAGTTAGAAACTATCAATAGGCTGATGTAGAGAAAGGTTGAGAAAGAGTGATAAGCTGGGATGGGATATTCAGTCTCGGTAAGGTAAAAGGGCTGGTGTTTTTAGAAGAAAGGATTTCCCCTCCTTGGCTTCTCTAGTGAAAACTGGTTGGAGTGAAGAAGTTAAGGGGAAGATGCCTGTGGCCAGTACCTTAGACGGATCCCACCCCTATATCTCCGGTCACTTTGGTGAGAGGCTGCAGGCCTTTTCCCGTGCGGCAGCAGAAGGCGCTCTTGCGCGATCGCCATACTGGCTGCGGGAGCGCAGCGACGCTCTAGTCTCTTTTCTCTGTGGCACCCGGGCAGCTTCTTTGGCCTCTGCAGCATTGCGGGTTCTCCGGCACGGGAGAAAACGCCAACTTGGCACGCATCCTCCGGGACCGAGGCATGGCACGGCTCCCGAAGCTCGCAGTCTTTGATCTGGGTGAGGAACAGGCAGGAATAATTTCGTAGGGCATGCTCTTTTTCCCTCGCCAGCGGCAAGCTGACTCCTTGCGCACCCCAAGGCTGAACCTCCCTCGCTCTTCCTCTCGTAGATTACACGCTGTGGCCTTTCTGGGTCGACACGCACGTAGACCCCCCATTTCACAGGAGCAGGTGAGGCAGGGTATCAGAGGACTAGGTGAGTTGCGACGCCGCCGGAGCTGAGTGTTTTCTCATCCTCTCTAGTGATGGAACTGTCCGGGATAGTCGGGGCCAGAACATTCGGTTGTACCCGGAGGTGCCTAAGGTCCTAGAACGGTTACAGGACCTTGGGGTGCCCGTCGCGGCGGCTTCCCGGTAAGAAGAGGGAGTGACAACAATCCCTGTAAATGCTGAAGGATGCATGCACGGGGAAACATTTCACATAACCGCTTGAGTACTAAAATTTAGGGGGGTGCAAATTTCAGATTATGTGCATATTTTTCCTAGTTGTACATCCTCCTGTGCATTTTGGTTACTAAACGTGAGCTAACCGCCAGCTATGGTCAAACAGAAGTCTGTGGAGTTGAATGAGGGCAGAGGAAGCCTAGCCTTCCTGGAAAAACAGCAAAGTGGTTTCCCCCTGGTTATATTTAACTTTGCTTGCAGTTCAAGACTTGGCCTTTCACTCTCCTATCCCATCTATTATACCTTTCTTCAGGACAGGTGAGATAGAAGGGGCGAACCAACTACTGGAGCTCTTTGACCTTGTTAGATATTTTGCTCATCGGGAAATTTATCCGGGCAGCAAAGTCACACACTTTGAGAGGTAGGTGGAGATAAGGGTAGGAGCCAGCAGGGAGAGTACCAGAGAGGCCAAGATTCCAGCTTGGTTACCCCTGCTCTTTCTTGCACAGGTTGCAGCAGAAGACTGGGGTTTCTTTCGCCCAGATGATATTCTTCGATGATGAGAAGCGAAATATTGTAGATGTTGGTAAACTGGGTATGAGCAATGAGGAGAGCCATTTGGGGAATGAGAAGAAAGTGTTCCTAAGAGGGTATTAGGTAGTTATGTGCAGGGTGGATGGTCTGCATGACAGGTGACACCCACAAAAGGTGAGTAATAATGGAAAGGCCTAAAAAAGCTGATGAAATGTGACTTATTTTCCTTATAGGTGTTCTCTGCATTCATATTCAGAATGGAATGAGTCTTCAAACCCTAGCCCAAGGGTTAGAAACATTCACTAACTCTCAAGCTGGGCACTGAAGTCCAGCCCTGTGGATGAGCCTCATTTGAAGCCTAAAATGGAAAGGAAACGGAGAAGGCATTTTTTTCAGGTGCATTTGCAATTTATTAAAGTGTATCTATGTGTGGGTTGTTTTTATTTTTCTAGTGTGTAAACTGGGGCTGGTTGTCGTCCTGAGGTGCCCAGAGTGGAGTGTGAGACAGGTTCTGCCAAAAGGTTGTGACTCCTTCATTCTGGAACCCATCCCCACGCCATTTACTGAGGGGCCTGAAGAATTTTCCCACTACCCCAATGGTGGGTTCTATTATGCTGTACGTTCCCTTCCACGGAACAAAACCAGTTTTAGAAACAAAACCAGTTTTAGTAGAAAGTGAAGCGGCCGCTTTAAGAGRAGCGCGTCAACCTGGGGATGGTGGCCCTGGTCACATGACAGCAGTGGTCTCCTTTGCGCCTGTTGATGATGTCGCCCCGGCGCCTTAAGGAGGGATTGGCCAAGGCGGGCCTACTAGCCAGGAACGAGGCGGAAGTGCAGGGCACGCCGAGGGGCGGAGGCGGGAGAGGCGAGGACGCAATGAGTGGGCTCGGCAGACTCTTCGGGAGGGGTGAGATTGGGCCGCCTAGAGATGCTGGTCGGAGTGGGGGGTGGGGGCGACCGCGGCGCCCCGCYGGGGAAAAGCCTCAGGAGTCAGGCGGACCGAAGACACCGGCCCGAGTTGAAGCCAGACTCATCTCTGGTGCCAATAGGCCCCGCCTAGTCTGGGCGCCTTGCTCCCTCCCGCTTGTCTTCCAGGATCCCTAAATCTTGAGCTTGTGGTCAGAGAGAGGGGACGTGAGTGGAGAGCATGGCAACTGAGCTGGTTCCCACCGCACAGGCTGGGGGTTACTAATTTCCAGCAGCCTCTATCCAGTCCTTTCCAAAATACTGATGGTTACTTAGCTGGGCAATCGAGACCTAAGGTGAAAGACTACCTTCTGGAAGCTCATGTCAAGGGGAACACAGGCCATTTGTGTAGTATAGCAACTCAATAATAGACATTCCTAAAAGACTAGGGAAGCACAGAAGTAGGTGTCGGCGGTGTTCCACCAGGCTAGCAGTTTGCCGTGTGGAGTACTGAGATACTCCAGAAGTGGTAACAGGCATCACAAAACATAGGCAGGAGAGATATAGATGGGGGAAAAGTTTTGGCTGCCGCAGTGTACGTGATTAGAAGAGGGGAAAAAAGTAAAGGGAAGGCCTTCGGTTTCCCCAGAAAGTTTTGGATTTTGTCCTGTAGGTAATGGAGAGTAGGGAAGGATTTTGCCCAGGGAAAGGTATCAGATTTCTATTTGGGAAAATGAATGTTGTATAGAAGATGAAGGGAGAAACTTTTTTTTTTCCCCTCTAGCCTTTTGTACTTCATTTAGTTTGATATTGTGGAATTAGGATCTTTGGCATCTCCTAGGACAGCAAATGAAAATAGTGGTTATTAAAAGTGACTGGAGGGGCTGGGGCTGAGGCTCAGTGGTAGAGTGCTTGCTTAGCATGTGTGAGGCACTGGATTCAATCCTCAACACTACATAAAAATAAATAAATAAAGGTATTWAAAAAAAGTGACTGGAGTCAGTTGAGTGCAGTGGTATAGGCCTGTAGTCCTAGCTACTCAAGAGGCCGAAGCAGGAAGATCATAAGTTCCAGGCTAGCTTTGACAACTTAAACCCTGTCTTGAAATAAAAAATAAAGAGAGCTGGGGATCTAGCTCAGTGGTACAGCACTCTGAGCTCAATCCCCAGTACTGCCAAAAGGGGTGGTGGTAGCTGGAAATTACTTCAAAGAGCAAAAAGAGTATTGGCTTTCAAAGTCATTGTGCCACATTTTGGATTCCTACTAAACTTCTTCTTGTGATTTTAGACAAAAAAATAAAAAATAACACCTTTGTGCCTGTTTTCAGATTTTTAAAGTGAAGATAGTATACTCATTGTAGAGAATCATTTAGAGATTAAGAGTCAAGTGCCTGGCACATACTGTGCACTCAACAATTGGTGGGTAATATTTTTCTTTAACACAACATGGGTCTGTGTTGCACTGGACTCTTCAGGGAAGAAGGAAAAGGGACCAACCCCTGAAGAAGCAATACAGAAACTGAAGGAGACTGAGAAGATACTGATCAAAAAACAGGAGTTTCTGGAACAGAAGATTCAGCAGGAGCTACAAACAGCCAAGAAGCATGGGACCAAGAACAAAAGAGGTAATAAGGGAAAGGAGCCACTGGGGAGGGCCCAGGTGGGAATTAGGTATTTCTGACTCTGATGTTCAGGATGTGGGCTGGGTCAGCTGCCCTGCAGGCTTTGCGGAGAAAGAAAAGATTGGAAAAGCAGCTGGCACAAACCGATGGAACATTATCCACCCTGGAGTTTCAGCGTGAAGCGATTGARAATGCCACCACCAATGCAGAAGTGCTTCGTACTATGGAGGTTGCTGCCCAAGGCATGAAAAAAGCCTACCAGGACATGTAGGTACGGGGCAGAGGAGGAGAGTACCTATACATTGGGAAGGATGGTTTGGGATTATACTTTCAAGGTTTTTTTGGTTTTGGTAACACTGGGGATTGAACTCAGGACCTTCCACATGCGAGGCAAGCACTCTACCACAGAGTTACACCCACAACTTAACACTTTCAACTTTAAAGCCTTTCAGAATATGAACTTGTGTAAACTTGTGATAAGAAGACTTGTCTGCCTCCTTGATTCCTTCAAGAAAGATCCTGTTGCTGGGACATTCTAGGGAGAAAAGATGATTTCTTTAATTTTTAAAGATCATTAGCACAGCCTGTGCTTTCCATTGTGGCTTTTTGCTGTTCCTTGGCCCAGACTTGATTCTACCTTTTTCCTGCCATCGATTTATTAGTATGAGGCCATAAGACARAAGGGTTTCATTTATGTGATATAAGGAATTCGGGGTAGGGATCTTGCCTGATTTCTTCACTGTACATCTTGTTCTCAGGGACATTGACAAGGTAGATGAATTGATGGCTGATATCACAGAACAACAGGAACTGGCCCAGGAGATCTCAGATGCCATTTCTCGGCCTGTGGGCTTTGGAGATGACGTGGATGAGGTAACTGGGGGTGAGGGGTCAGGGACTATTAGAGAAGCTATGAGACTGGCCAGAATGAATGCCCAAGAGAAGCTCTTGGGGCAGATTTGGAAGAGAATTTCAAAAGTGATCTGTTTGAAAGTTGAAATTTCTTTTCTTGGTCTTTAACTTTTTTGTCATCCCATATCCAGGATGAATTATTGGAAGAGCTAGAGGAACTAGAGCAGGAGAAATTGGCCCAGGAGTTGTTAAATGTGGGCAATGAGGAGGAAGAACCCCCAGTCAAATTGCCTAGTGTACCTTCTACACATCTGCCTGCAGGGCCAGGTAACCAGGACTATTTGTTGTCTGGAAGACTTGATGATGTGGGGAGATATGGGGTAAGATTATTCCCCATCCATCCTGCCACATATATGCAGGTTGTTGACTGTGTAATAGCATCTGACTAAAAGGGAGTGTGGATGAAATCCAGAATCCAACCTGTGCTCCACTCAGTGGAGTACTGCAAGCTGTGTACTCTGCTTTAGGGATGCAAATGGTGGGAACAAAAGGAAGCTTTTTCTAATTTGCATTAAGGTGCTGTGGGAATGAGTAGCAGCCACAAGCAGGACTACACACCTTTAGGTTCTTTGCTGGGGAGACACACTTCAGTAGGCTCCAGGGTTCACAGTAGGGCATAGCTAGAAGTTACTGAGGCTTTAACATTTCTCCTTTCTTTTTCTGGGTGCCCTTGTCAAAGCTCCCAAAGAGGATGAAGATGAAGAACTAAAACAGTTGGCTGAGTGGGTATCCTGAGTCTGGGTTTGTCGTCCTCCTGCTGCCTTCATTGGTCCCTTTTCCTTAAGTGCCAAATACCAAGCTAAAGAAGCACAGCTTTTTTGGGAGGTCTTGCTGATGTGGTAGTATGCCTGTATGAGAAAGGGACCTGTTGCCCTTCCATCCCTGGCTGAACGCTGAAGGATCTTGCTGCAGGGGCCCCTGGGCTCCATTCTCTTTGATAGCAGTTACAGTGCCCTTGTTATCAATAAAATTGGGTAGATGGATCACTAGTGTCTATACTCTCTCACGTACACTTGAAACTCTTCTCTGGTTCTTAAAGCTGTTTTAAGCACTGAACATGTGAACAATGAGTCACGAGAAGGGGTTGGAACATAGAACAAATGGGTATTTCTAATATCTCAACATGTATTCTAGGGAAACAACTTTACCTTTGAAGTTGGTTTATCCTAAAGGTGCCTAGTGTTGAGGCAAACTTCCATGGAGCCGTCTCTAGTGTTAACTGCTTTTCTCAGTCATGACTTCCCCATTTTCCTTTGCAAAGCATATTTCAAGGACCGGGAGGGAGAATACAGGGATAGATAGAGCAAGTAGCTTTTCTTTATCTAGAATTCACTTATCTAGAATTCACTAGTTCTTAGCTTTCATAACGAGAAGACTTGGTGTGACTTGAAGACTCTTGTCACTTCTATGTCTGGGAGCAACAGTACAAGGAGTCCTGACTCCCTGGTATTATTTCAATAGTAGTTAAGGTGGCACTGAAGGAAAGAGGAGCCAAAGTACTAAATATGGCCTAATACTCATTTGTGAAAGAACATACAATGCTATTATCATTTTGGACTATAGATAGGCAGAACTATAAAGTAGAGCTTTTGTCCCAACCACTTCTTGAACATTAAGTGCATACTTAATTGGGTATTAATCTAAGTATCTGACACCCCCTCCCCAACACACACACACCCACCACCCCCATGAACTACATTGAATTATTGTTGACCTGCAAAAGTGTCAAGATTACTGGTTACAGGATCTGGCAAGAAAATCCACCCTAACTGATGAAACTGTCAGAATTATTTATTTTTGGTATAAAAGCCCCAGACCCTCCTACTTTGCTCCTCTCAGCACCTTGCCTCAGTTATTTTCAGGTCCTGACTTCCAAAGACTGGCGACGACGATTACTGTTGTTGGGGGACTGGCACATAGCCTCAAGTAACCTGATCTCATATGTGGGTTGCTCAGGCTGGAATTTGACCACCCAGGGATCCTTGAGGATGTCCAGGATGGTGGCACGCTTGGTAGCTGGGCGTAGCATCCGGACGACCAGGTTCTATGGAAGAGGAGAGAGAGGTCTTGGCTGAGCTTGCCCCCCATTGTGCCACACAGGCAATGAGCAGTTGGACCTAAGAAAGAAGCAAGATAGCCCATCACACCACTCTGGTGAAAGGGGGTATGGTCCTGCTTTTATGCTAGAGAGCCAGACATTTTCTGCAAGAGAAGGGAAGAATTGGGGTAGGATGGGGGAATCTCTTGCATAATCCCCTTCTGGCCTAAAGGAATAGAAGCTGGAACCACTTTATCAAGCATCTGTTTGGAGCCCAGTGGTAGACCCTTTAAGCCCTCCCCACTATATACTTAAGAGTGTGAGATAACCCAGTTGGAATAGCCTTCCCCAGGATTGGAAGGCCTAGGTTCACTCTTCCCTGTGGGTCACCCCTAAGGCCTCAGCCCTCCTGGGGGAGCCAGCACCTTGCACTCCTGGGAGATGGTGCAGTTAGATGGGAAAGTGACCTCCTTCTGAGTCTCTTTCAGCAGCTTCTTGAGATTGGTGTCATCAAAGGGCAGATGGGCGACCACTAGAGTGTAGAGGATGACGCCCATGCTCCAGGTGTCAGACAGGAAAGGATTGTAGGGCAAGCCTAGCAAGATCTCCGGGCAGGCATAAGCAAAGCTGCCACAGTAGGTCTGGCTGAGGTGGGAAAATAAGTTCACTTGGCGGTAAGAAGAGCTACTACGCACAGGCTGGTTAGAAGGCACCATCTTGGAGAAGCCGAAGTCCGATATCTTCACATTCTCCCGCTTGTCCAGCAACAGGTTCTCCAACTTTAAATCCCTACTAGCAGCAGAAAGGCTGGGGGTCAGGCTGGGGAGAGGGCTTAGTATTAGACCGGGAGCTGAAGGGCCAGGGGTCAGAGGCTAGAGATGAGGAGAGGCAAAGTGGGAGGTATAGACCATTATGGGAGCACAAGGTAGTAAGGAAGGCCATGGAGCTGTGAGCAGAGCCTAAAGGAAGAGAGAGAGGATGGTACCTCAGGACCACTGGGAGTGTGAATACAGTGGGTACTTTACAAATGTCCTTGACCAGTGATTAACAGAATGGATGAATGGGCCTAGATGTTGAGGAGAGAGGTTAAGGGAAGGAAAAAAAAAAAAAAAAAGAGCAGCAAATGGGTGATATGCATAAAACCCCCTTGGGATCCCAAAGGCCGCAGTCTGGGTGGCTATGCCCTCACCGGTGCACGATGCCCTTGCTGTGCAGGTAGGCGATACCCAGGGTCAGCTGGGAGAACCACTTGCCAGCAAGGGGCTCAGAGCAGGCCCCAAAGCGCTGGATCCATTCAAGGACATCACCACCTTGAGCCAGCTCCAAAACGATGTACACTCGGGATGTTGTCTCAATGGCCTGATAGAAGTTGATGAGGTACTTGTGCCGCAAGACTTTCATTACCTGACCCCAGAAGAGGGAACCATCAAACCTGGGAAAGGAGAACCCTGCCTATACTCCCAACCCTCTCCTACCTTCCTGCTGCAACTTACTTAGAACTCCACAACAGAATCAACCCCTCAACTCCAGAGCACTGGTGGACTGTGAGTAAACCCTATTTTTCATTTTTACTTACTGGGAGGCTGGAGGCAAGTGGGCAGATGGGAAAGAGTTTGAATATATATTAAGGAATTTTCCCAGTTGCTTAGATGTTCAGATCTGATTTGGGGGTTTTGGGCTCTACCTGCTCCTAGTCATACCCCTTTTAAGAAATCTCAAGTCATTTAGTTATAAGTTTCCAGCCCTTTCTGACCTGTATCTCACGGGGCAGGAACTTGTTAAGATAGTCTTCAGAGGCCTTCTTCTTTGAGATGATCTTGACAGCCACCATGACCTTCTGCTTTGTGTAGTAAGCCTCATACACAGTCCCATAGGAGCCATTGCCAATGACCTTGCCCACCTCATAACCATACTCTTCCATGACAGAGCGATAGGCTGCGGTGGGTGGTGCTGACTCCATGGTGTCTCCCTTCATGATTTTGGGTTTGCTTAAAGTAAGGAGTTTTGCTACTTAAGATGCCTCTGTCTATTCAGAGGCCAAGACCTTGAGCCATTGATGGCTAAGGGACCAAAATCAAGTTGAGACTTTGAATGCTTGCGTATATAGTCACACAAGTCTGGGATRCTGGGCTCAGTCCTCCACTAAGAACTTGGAGTGGGAAAGAACAGAGAAGCAATTCTTTTTGTCTCCACTGGCTGTTGTTACTTCTTCCTTCTCTTAGTTACGGAACTTCCTAAGATCCCAAGTTCTGTACACATCACAATCCACTTTCTATCCATGATTACTGGCCACAAAGCTTGAGAATGTGTGGTTTGGAACATATTCATTCATAAGGGCATGTTCTGCAATCTGGTGAGACTCCCCTACGGAGACTTCCCATTACTTCAGATTTACTGAGCACTTTCTATGTGCCATGTGCTGAACACTAAATTAATCAATAAGGTCAATAGCAACTCTATGTATCTAGACTTTATAATTCAGCAAGACATACATGAGCATATTATGAAGAACTACTAGGTGTTAAAGCTCATTCCAGGATTTTTTTTTTTTTAAATCGGGAATTGTATACAGGGGGCTTAACCACTAAGCCATATCCTCAGCGCCCCCCCCCCCCCGCCGTGTTTCTAAATTTTATTTTACAGATAGGGTCTCACTGATTTTCCGAGGCTGGCTTTGAACACCTAATCCTCCTGCCTCAGCCTCCTGAATTGCTGGGATTACAGGCCTGCACCACCATGTCTCGCTCATTCTAGAAACTTAACACTGAAAGGCATTCTTGCTTTTCAGGACCCTGAATTTTCTAGTTTTTTTATGCTTCTGGTCATTCCTTCCACTGGGGCCTCATCTATCTTTTTTTTTTTCCCCCTCACAGTGCTGAGGGTTGCACCCAAGGCTTTGTACATGTTAGGCAAACAATCTACCACTGAGCTACAGCTCCTCCATCTATTCCTTAATCGTATCCCAAGCCCAATTATCTCGGATCTCCACATCCTTTCTTAAGGATCTCATCCCCTCCCAAGGCTTCAATTACCACGTTTATGCTGACTGCTT